ATTTTATTTCTTCCTTTTCTTATGCATAAAAATAAGTACATCTACTACTATGAAGATGTAAAATATTAACATAGTCAGACTAATCTATTTGGTTGAAACTGGTTTAAGTTAATTTTGATTAATCAATTACAGAACTCTATACAATCTCTGATTCTAAATTTTTAAGAACTATTCTTACAAAGATTTATTAATGTCTATTTTAGGTGCCAAGATTTACACTCAAATAGATTATTGGAAACAGTCTATGCTCATTTTTTTAATTATTATTCCTTATAAAAACTATCAGAAGTGGATGAAATAGGTTTTCTTTATACGATTCTCCATATTGCTCTATTCTTTTGTGCTTTATTATTCTGTCTATGAAGACCTAGTCTTATTTCAAGCTATGCTTATTTCAAGTAAAATTTAATATAGCAAGATGAACATAAAAACCAAAGCTGAAGCACAGTGGTTCGCAGCACTAGAAACCACCCTCGGCTAGAAGTCAGGGGTAATGTAGATGGAAATTAGGAGTACTCTCTTTTGGGGTCTATGATGCAAATATACTTGAAACTTCTAACAAGCACAACTCAATCAGTCTCTCAAATGCTTTCTAGATTAGGACTAGATTTGAAGCCAGGACTAATTTTCCATGGTCGCTGCAGGTCAAATAAGATTCTTAGGTTCTTGTGATCTGGGCCTTCACCCAAAAGTTGTTCTAAAACCAAACTGCAGGGATGAATGAACAAGTATAATCTTCCCAGCATCCTTACCCTAACACATTTCATTATAGGAAGATAATAATGAACGATAATACCTTCCTGTCTTGTACAACATTTATTCACTCATGTAAGAAACATTTGTAAATGGTAGGCATTTTATTGACACAATCATGTACAAGTGTTATCTTAAATATACTATACTTTCATTTACAGAAGCACTGAAAGAAAAAGTGTGATTTGTGCCCCATCGGGTGGCCAAACTGGAAATTTCAAACAAGTTCCAGCAAGGCAAGTTAACCCTAACTAATCAACACGATACCTTTGGGAAATTGAAGCCTACAACACAAGTGTTCTCATGGGAGAATTCTATAAATGAAAAAGCACAATCGTGTTAAGGCAATGTTTCCTTACATTTGAAAATAAGGGATGTGCAGTTATGCAGAATCTCTCCTTTCCCAAATCCTGCAACAAAAAATTAATCCATGACTATCATTGCTTATTTAATTAAACAAAAGTTTTTTTGAGTCAGCTTTCCATTCACAGATTAAAATATCATAAAAATTTTTTGAAAGAACACTAATTTAAAAGGATGTTATTAATAATACTCCATTAAATTATTTCCTCTTCACATATCAAATAACTAAAACATTCAGAAATTTAGAGCCAGATGGGTTCTTAGAAAATATAGGGCTGTGACTTAGAAACCATCAAATCTAGTTGGCTCGGGTTACAAAGAACCTAAAGCCCAGAAAGAGAAAGTGATTTAATCAGGGTCACAGAGCTAGGCTAGGGTGATCTGACTCCCAATGCTTAAACATCTGTGCTCAAGAGACTAGCCAGCTATATCTGATCCTGGACAAGTGACTGAATGTCTCTAGACCTTAGTTTCCTTACCTGAAAAAACAAGGAGACAGATAATCTCTAAATTTCTTTTTAAAGTCTAAAATCCTAAAACTTGGGTGCCTATTTATTTTAGTATCTTACAAAACTAAAGTATACACTGACAAAAGAAACTAAACCACAGGATCCTAGGAAAGAAAATACAAGTCAGCAGCCTAAAGCACCAAATATATTTACTTATTTTGTTAATATTCTGTAAAATATTAACATAGTCAGACTAATCTATTTGGTTGAAACTGGTTTAAGTTAATTTTGATTAATCAATTACAGAACTCTATACAATCTCTGATTCTAAATTTTTTTAAAATATTCTTACAAAGATTTATTAATGTCTATTTTAGATGCCAAGATTTATACTCAAATAGATTATTGGAAACAGTTTATGCTCATTTTTTAAATTATTATTCCTTATAAAAACTATCAGAAGTGGATGAAATAGGTTTTCTTTATATGGTTCTCCATATTGCTCTATTCTTTTGTGCTTTATTATTCTGTCTATGAAGACCTAGTCTAGGAATTCTACAATTCACTTTTAAATTAGAAACTCCAATAATTTTCAGGATATCGATGGGTCACTATCAAATAATTTTAACAGTCCAAGGAAGAAAAACAATTGAAAGTTAAATCAAAAACCTATGAGCCACAACAAACCTTAAAAAGCTCTGGGCCTATAGTCTTACTTTATGGAGGAGAAAGAGTCCTGGAAAGGCCAAAAGACTGTCCACAAGGTCTTATGGATAACATACCTACAAAAACTAGCTCTTACTGTGTGACCATGAATATCCAATAATACATATAGTTATAGATATAAAACAAAACTGTCAGCTTCTATGTAATGCTATGCTTATTTCAAGTAAAATTTAATATAGCAAGATGAACATAAAAACCAAAGCTGAAGCACAGTGGTTTGCAGCACTAGAAACCACCCTCGGCTAGAAGTCAGGAGTAATATACCAAAATTTCACTACCAGTGCTCGAATAACAAATGCAAGGGTCTGTTCTGCTAAGAGTGTTTCAAGAGCATCACCTTTATACATGAGAAACTACATTTTACTGCATTACAAGAAGGTTCTTTTCTCTAGCAAAGAAAAGAACCCCCCCACACCTAAGTTTTAAAGCTGCCAAAATTTCTGAATGCAAAACACTCTCATGCATTTCTCTTTAAGTATTTTCAAAGGACCAGCACCAGTTCTTGAGAAACAATAAAACACATAAAAATCCTAGCCCTATTTTTTTTAAATGTCTTTAATTGCTCCAGTGCACAAAGAAAAGTACCCCTTATTTAATTTTGTCTACCAAACAATGAGTTTATCCCAGACAGGAGTCACATAGTAGGGACTCTGCAAAATAAAATTTCAATTATCCACAGTAAATGAATTTTTCCAAAAATGATTTGTAATTGGCCTGGGAAAGATAATACAATCACAAAGGTGCTCAGGGATTCTGTCCCTCTGTAACCAACCTTGAATAACCACTTAAGACTACTACCCGAATGGAGTAAGTGAATGAAGAGTCCCAGAATTACTGTGGTCACTCCAGCCACAAAGCTGCCATTACAAATCAAGAGGTAATTGCATTTTCAAACTAAATCGTATGCTTCCATTTCCAGTCCCAGATATTCCAAATTAATACAGTTCTATGAAACAGTTAAGCGTTGTAATACTTGAAATGAATCATAGCAAACAGCCACTATTACTTCTGCCCAAATCAAGCATGCCATACTATACCGCAAGTTGCAAGATGTTGCCTCAGCATGCTATGGCCTATGCCTCTATGAAGAACTGGCAGTGGTGCTGAAAATTACTACTACTACAAAGATGAAAGACCAATACCCTCCTTTCAATAAAAACCATCGTCTGGACTCTAGCCAAGGTTTAAAACTGACTGAATGTTATTAGGAACAATAAATCAAAAACTCTCCAGGCTGAAAAGCCATCCCCTTATTTCATTCTTACAAACGTAGCCACAAAACACTCTAAGAAAATTAAGTGACAAGAAAAGCATTAATAATTTTAGGCCTTTCGTTTCTGGCAATAATGAAATGCTGTACGTTACAAGGTGAATTTATTTTACAATCTTCCGAGGTTCTGTTTAACCTACCTACATCCCTTTCCCTGTCTTCTTCAATTATTACAACTGCTATAATGATTAAATAAACTCATGCTATTGCTTAAACATGCTATCACTTAACTTAAATAGAAATGAGAGTACTAAAATATTCTACTTCATAAAATCGAGCTAGCATATTTGGGTTCATATTGATTTTATACTCTTTGTTCTTGCACATAACATAGATGTGAATTCCTGGCGCTTACACAAGAAGTCTTTATCCAGGAGCTGAATTGCCAGCTACTGAGAATAACCTATTGCAATGCTTAAAGCCCTTTAGGTATCTCACCTCTGACTATATAAATGGGTTCATTATCTTTACTTTTCCCTGTATGAATGTAAGGTTCCTTACCACTCTCAATTAAGTACCCTACAGGTTATCAAAGGAATTAGGGGGAAGAGGACCATGATTTCTGTAATAGGCAGGTAGGGCTTTAAAAAAAAAAAAAAAAAGTAATTGTTTACAATAGAGTACTTTTCTCCCTCGTTAACAAAAATTTTAGTGGCAAAAAAAAACCCTGAACATTTTAATAATTCTCTTCTTTCCTCCTTCCTCTTCCCCCTACGCTCCCTTCCAGAACAACACAAGAGTCAAAACCGAAGATGCGATTACTTTGTTATACTTCATGCAGTCAGTAAAACGAGTCTTATTATCAAAACTGATGAGTTGATTGCAATACGTTTGTTTAACACTGCCTGTGTGATATACATTTCAATCAAGTTTCAAGCCAGTTAGTTACAAAGCCTTTGTCAACAGTGCGGGCAAGCGGGGAAAGGCAGAAGGAGGGCTCTGTGGGATGAAGCCAATCGTCCAGAGGGGCTTATCCTGGAAGAGGATTCCTGGGTGAGAGGTGAGGAGGGAGAAACACCAGCAAACCTGGCCACGGGGGCGCTCGCCCCGGGTAGGAACGAGAGAGATCGGGGTGAGAGGAGGATGCGGGAATTAGCGCGACCCGGGCAGCCCAGGCACCCCGAGCCCCCCACCTGCGGCTCGCCCTCCACCTCCGTGCCCCAGCTCCGGCGGGGCAGTGCCCGCCCTCCCGGCCCGCCGCCTTCCTATCCGTTACCCCAGCGGCAGCGGGGCCGCGGGGGAGGGGAAGGTCAGCGGGCCCGGAGGGGCCGGCGCGGCGGCGGGGATGCCGCAGTGGCTCCCCGGCGGCCCCGGGTCAAAGTCTGCCCCGGCGCCGCGGGGAGGCAGCGAGAGCGGAAGGCGGCCGTGGCTGGAGGTCGGGCTGGCGAGACGGCGGCCCCTCCGAGTCCTCCCAACACCCCGGCCGCCGCCGCCGGTACCTCATACTGGATGTACTGCTTCCTCCACTCCGGAGTGATGTGCGCGGAGAGGTGCTCCGCGAACTTCATCCTGACGTCTCCCCCTCACTCCCACTCCGGTCCAGCAGCTCCAGGCGGGCGGCAACAGCGGCGGCGGCGGCAACAGCGACTCCGACTCCTCCCCACATGGGCCCCGGCGCGGCGCGGCGCGGCGCTGAGCTTCTCTCCTCCTCCGCCGCCGCCCAGGTCTCCTCAGAGCCGCCCTCCCGCCATCTTCCTCCTCCTCTCCATGGCCCCGCCCCGTTCCGCCCACTCTACGTCATCGCCATGGTAACCGCCTACGCCGCGCTGACGGAAGGGGCTGAGGAAGGGACGGGGTTTGGGTTACATTCCCCGAGGCCCCGCCTCTTCTGGGCCGGACGTGCTGGAGGCACCTCCCCTGACCTCTTCCGGCCGACTCCTTTTGGCCTGACAGCTGCTCTCTACCGCCTGCCTGGGAAGCTGCCTTGTTGTTATTACAATTAATATTAATACTGTAGCAACCGTCATTCATCAAAGACGTTTATAGTTGCAAGGAATGGTGCAAACATTTCCCACTTTAATATTTGGTCTTCATAGAACCCTTAAGGATGGGATCAGAATTAATCCAAATTGAGTTAAGAAGAGCGAAATGTATTTCAAGGAACCAGATTTTTACACGCTTTAGGGGCTCAGTAAACGCTTGTTGAATTTAATGAAAGACGCCAGTCCCAAAAATTTCAATGTAATTTTCCAGTCCCAGGTCTACCAGAAAGGCCAGTAACAACACCTGGACTCCAATCAGAACTGGTGCAATACCAACTGGACTTTTGAGTTAAGCTTTCTAGGGTAGGAAAGGGAAACCAATGTTGAGAGGAAAGAGAATCCTCTAGGTATAGTAGCAACCTCACCCCCAGGGGAGACCAGAAGTTCATGCAGCTGAACTGTCCTCTAGGTCTAGCATGAGGTAGAGATCACTCACATAGCATGGCACTATTATGAGGGAAAGAGTAATTGTCCTGGAAGACCTAACTTGGGACAAAGACCCAGGTCCTTCCCTGAGTGGAGAAGTCCTAGATAATAATAGCTAACATTTATTAAGCACTCACTGTCCGAGTACCAAATACAATTCCAAATTCCTTACATGTACTTTAATTTTTAACAATTTTAACAATTTTGACAAGACCCAGAGAATAGAGGACTACTGTGACCAGGACAGGACAATATTCTGAGATACCAGTCTCTGCTTTGGGCTCCCCCCCACCCCCATGTATTTTTTCCCCTTTCCCTTCCTCTTAATTCATGCCAGTAGGGGTTCTGCAATCATTTTCTCAAGAGAGGGATGAGGCAAATGGAAAATAGGCATAGGCTATAAGCCTTTCTGACTTTTGTGACACAAAAGCCTCAGCCCCTGTGGAAGGCTAATTAAGGACAAAGAAGAAGAGGAGAAGGAGAAGGAGAAGGAGAAGGAGAAGGAGGAGGAGGAGGAGGAGGAGGAGGAGGAGGAGGAGGAGGAGGAGGAGGAGGAGGAGGAGGAGGAGGAGGAGGAGGAGAAGGAGAAGGAGAAGGAGAAGGAGAAGGAGAAGGAGAAGGAGAAGGAGAAGGAGAAGGAGAAGGAGAAGGAGAAGGAGAAGGAGAAGGAGAAGAAGAAGGAGAGGAGGAGCAGCAAGGACTCCTCTCACCTCAGCACCTTAAGTACCTTCTGCCCACCATAAACAAAAAAGAGAGCTATGCTACCAGGAGAAGGCTCAACCACAGAGAGGAAATAACTGCACGGTGTGTCTAAGAAGACAAAACCAGAAGCAGCTGCAAACACGATTGCTAGGCCTTTAGCCAGAATGGACTAGAAAGGTGGATTCTTGGCAGCAACTCCTGTAGACTATGGTATCCTGCTCCCAACAGCACCATATCTTGGTGCCTTCACTGTACACAAGATTCTGGAACCATGACCCAAGCCAAGGAAAAAAAGAAATCCTCAATATTAGCTCTGTAACCAACAATTCTTAATTTTTATCATGCCTGATTGAGAGTCAGTTGGACATAAAAAGCCTAATTTATCTAAAGAAATAGATTTAATAATAAGTTTTCTTATTCCTAGCATTACTTCAGATATTTCACTGACAGAACCATCAAATACTTAGCATTGATTAAAAGTAGGTACTTTTAAAGAGCACTGGGCTAGGTACTATGAATGATATTCTGAATAGTTTTACTCTGAGTCAGAAGGGTCCCAGGCCTTCCACTTCCTTTTGTAAATATGCAAATAACTCTTCACTTAACAAAACTTTATTAAGCACTATAATATGCCAGTCACACTACTTTGACAATGAAAGTGCAGAAATAAAACAACTGTATTTTCCTTGGAGAACATCACAATTCAGTCAGAAAGTAAGACAGATGGACCAATATCTAGACCATAATGTGATATGTGCTGTAATTGAGGTAGGTACAAGGAAACACACATCCAACAGGGTCATGACCCAGAGAAGGTGATTTTGAAACACAGTATTCAACATCAATCTGACCTGGAGAAAGACACCCAACAATCTCAAAGGTAAAAACCAAGAAGTCAGGATTGTCAAAGAATGAGAAAAAATTGTCTGACCAGAATATCCTTTAAGGCAATTAAATATTCTTTCCTCAAAGAAATTCTCCCTATCCCCTCCTCTTCCTTCCTCGGTCTGGCCCCTCATCCACTTGGTGCACAGCCTTCATTGCACTGCCAACAATAATTTGTGTCAGATTATGAGCTCCTTGAAGACAAATTGTTCATTTCTCTTGTTTTCTCCAATGGTGTCTAACTGGCATTCAAGCATTCAATAAATGTTGAAAGAACAAAAGAAAGAAAGAAGGAGGAAAGAGAAGGAAGATGGAAAAGACAGTCCACATGGAGGAAAGTTACAGGAAAAAAAATAAATTAGAACAAGATTGTGAAGGAATAGATTATGTCAGCACAGGCAATGTGGGGTCTTTAAAAATGTTTAAGCAGTAAGTGACTTACTCAGCCTTGGGAAAGTGGTATAGAGTAGCTTCTTGGTTTTGAACACTAGGTTCACAGAATACACACGCCTGACTTAAAACTTGAACTCAGGCATTTATAATCTTTAACAAAGTAAATTAGCTCTTAAGACCTCAGTTTCTTTATCTCTCAAATGAGGATAGTAACAAACCCTACCCCAAACAGGTTGTTATGAGGATTAAATGAGATTCTATATACAAAGCACTTAGCACAATGACTGGCCTCTCCTTGAGACTCAAAAATTGGCAACCCCTCAAAAAACCTGTTAGCAGTGTGAAAAATGCTCTACAGTGGGCGTGAACCAGAGACCAATTAATTAACAAGCACCTATGCAGCACTTACTCTGTGCCAGATTCTGTGTTAAGTGCTTTACAAATACAAACTTATTTAATCCTCCCAAGGACTCAAGGAGATTGCCATTATCTTTATCCTCATTTTAGAGATGAGTCACTGAGACAGAATAGTTAAGAATCTTCCCTGGCTGGTTAACTAAGTAGTAGAGCATAGGCCCACGGACCAAGGGGTCATGGGTGAAATTCCAGTCAAGAGCATGTATCTCACTTGTGAGTTTGCTCCTAACCCCAGTTGAGATATGTGCAAGAGACAACTAGTTGATGTGTCTCTCTCACATCAATCTTTCTCTCTTTCTCTCTCCTCTTTCTCTTCTCTCTCTCTCTCTCTCTCTCCTCCCCCGCTTCTTTTCACTCTTTCTAAAAATCAATGGAAAAAATATCTTCAGGTGAGGATTAAGAAAACACACACAAGACTCTTGTTCAAGGTCACCTAGTAAGTGGTAAACTGGGTTTGAATGCTGGCAATCCAGCTCCAGAGTTCTTGCTCTTGACCACTCCATTATGCTGACTGTTGGTACAATCCACACCAGTCATAGTGATGGAGAGAAGGAGGTTTGGCATGTCATTCTAACTCTAGTGCCTGGGTTGATGCTGCTGCCATGAAATGAGATAAGGAATGGAAGTAGAGGGCAGGTTGGGGGCATTATTGCATGTGTTAAATGGCTGGCAATTCATGAGACATACAGTACTGCAATGAAATATATAGAACGAGAGCTTGGGAAAGATGGTATTGCTGAAGATGATGATATTGCTGAAGACGATGGTATTGCTGAGGAGCCATTCACATTTCGGGGATAATTAAGTACTGGTAAGTCTGGCCAGAAAGAGAGCATATGCTGAAATGGAAAAGGTTCTGAGGGAGCATCCTGATAATGAAGATGGGATAAGGAAAGAGACTTAGATATGGCCAGAATGGGCCTAGCAAGACAACTAGGAGAGAGTAGTGTTCAGGAGGCCATTAAAAAATGGAATTTTCATAAAGGAGGCATGATAAAAAAAAATTGTCAGATTCTACAGAGAAACTGAGTAGGATAACTTGGGTTTAGCAATTAAAGAGTCATTAGTAACCTCAGAGACAGTGGCTTTGATAGCATAAAGGGTTACAGAAGGCTGAGCAGTGAACAGTGTTTTGTTTTTGTGTATCCTAAATTATATTTATTCTGTGTACAAGTTGTAGAGCCACCAGGAGTGAAAACTTAATAGCATACTAAGCTATTTATCTGGAAATTCATAAGTGCTGAGTCTGAACACTTTATATTTATCACATGTAATTCTAAGTTTGGGAACAGTTATACTTACCACAAAGTAACTGTTCTAAAACTTAGAATTATGTGTGATAAATATAAATATTGCCCTGTTGCTTGAGCAAATGAGATGAGCGATCATGCTGAAGGGTGAGGAACTGACCTGCAAAAGGATTAAATCTTATGCTGTATCTCTCACTGAAGCTGAATTAGAAGAATACTCAGCATGCTTATCTCTAGGTTAGAGATTTCAAGTGGTTTTTACTCCTTGTATTTTTCTGTGTTGCTTTCAATTTTTACAAGTTGCATTTATCAAATCTATAAAAAACTATAATATTAACTGTTTAAATAACCCAGAACCAGTGATGCCCCTTGAATGTGAAAGAGAGTCTGCAGTATTAGACACTGCAAGCCACGGGGAAGAAACCAGTGGACTAGGAGATACAGAAAATTAAG